TGCTTGATCGACTGCCTGTCAATCCCAGTGGAAAGGTTGACCGCAAGGCACTTGCGAATATGGCACAGGTCATACCCAGGAGCAACCCCACCTCGGTCCACGTGGCCCCGCGAAACGACCTAGAAGCGGCGTTATGCGAGGAATTTGCGAACGTGCTGGGCGTAAAAGTCGGGGTCACTGACAACTTCTTCCATCTTGGTGGGCACTCCTTGATGGCGACGAAGCTAGCGACACGTATCAGCCGCCGACTGGACGTTCGTATGTCTGTCAAAGACGTTTTCGACTACCCCGTCATTACCGAACTTGCGGCTACAATATCCCAGGGATCTGAAGTACACCGTCCGATCCCCCAGATGGAGTATAGCGGACCTGTGGACCTGTCATATGCCCAGGGCCGCCTATGGTTCTTGGATCAGTTAGTGCTCGGGTCAACGTGGTATATGATGCCGCTCGCGACAAGACTACGCGGGCCGCTCCAGCTCGACGCTCTTACTGCCGCGGTTCATGCGCTGGAGCAGCGGCATGAGACCCTCCGGACAACCTTTGAGGAGAGGGATGGCCAAGGCGTTCAAATTGTCCACCGACCTAATTATGAAGCCATTAAAGTCATCGATGTGACAACCGAGAAAGATGGCACTCACCTCCCGGCCTTATATCGGGAACAGAAAGCCACGTTCAATCTAGCCTCTGAGCCGGGGATGAGGGTATGTGTGCTGCGGTTGGGAGAGGACGACCACATCCTGTCCATTGTGATGCACCATATCATCTCGGATGGCTGGTCTGTCGACGTCATCCAGCAGGAGATCAGCCAGTTCTACGCCGCTGCGCGACGAGGCGAAGACCCACTGATGCGGGTTAGCCCACTTCCGATCCAGTACCGTGACTTCGCCATGTGGCAGAAACAGGAAGATCAGCTGGCCGAGCAGCAGAAGCAGCTGAAGTACTGGATGCAGCAGCTCGAGGGCTCATCGCCTGCCGAACTCTTGACTGACCGCCCGCGCCCGAAGGTCCTTGCTGGCGAGGCCCGCTCTATACCCTTCGCAATTGAGGCCGAATTGTATCAGAGCCTGCAGGCTTTCTGCAAGATCTATCAGATGACCCCCTTCGTGGTGCTGCTTGCCGCGTTCCGTGCCACTCACTATCGCCTCACAGGAGTCGGGGACGCGTGCATTGGCACACCGATTGCGAACCGCAATAGGCCGGAGCTGGAGAATATGATCGGCTTCTTTGTCAATACACAGTGCATGCGCATTATCGTCGAGGACGACACGTTTGAGGTGCTGGCGCAGAAGGTCCGTTCGACTGCAACGGCCGCCTTCGCGAATCAGGATGTCCCCTTCGAGCGTATAGTGTCAGCTATCCTCCCCGGCTCGAGGGACACGTCAAGAAACCCGCTCGTCCAGCTCATGTTGGCCGTCCATTCTCAAAAGGACTTGGGCAGAATCCAGT